TTCAAGCCTAAACATTCCTTTAAAAATAGTTTTGCATATTTATTATCTAGTATTATGTACCGTATGCTTTGTTGTATTCATTTTTATATAAATTATCATATATTGTATTTATCTCTTTCCATGCTAGTGGATTAAAATTTTCTCTCATGGGAATCAATAGAGATCTATCTTATCTTCTAAAACAAAAGTTTTTTTTTTCTGCACACTTCACACATTGCACACATTTAATAATACCAATTACACAAAACTAAATATTCGAAATAAAAAACGAAGACATGAAAGCGTGGCTGTTTATATTGTGACTCATCAATTACACAGTCTGGCTCATTTCTGGTACATTCCAAAAGATTAAGGGCATCCCCTGCGCACGTGCGGACTCAGGCGTCGGCATGGCCATTGTACCTACTGAGTGGATGGACGTCTACGCCTATATCATAAATGAGTAAAAGTGCTGTGGACAATTGCTTTATTGTAGTGCATTCGCTATCGCTTTTTTGTTAAAATAATTTTAACTAAATGTTTTAACACGATTATACCGTTGACAAATACTTGTAACGTTATTACTAAAGATATAAAAATAATTTGTTTTATTATCTTCTTAGGAATATCTGTGTGATATATATTCTGTTAAATTCCAGGGTGTTTATTTTCGTTGGTGTATTTCATTACTCCATTGTAAATCAAAACAGTCGACATGCACTTTTCAGGATCATACCATTATAAAGTGTTAAAACTAGTGTGTTAGTGGAATTTGTTTAAGACTAAGTGTGTAAGAATTATTATGCAATTATGGCGCTTCTTAAGCGACATGAGTTCCTCTGCTACTGTAGAATAACGATTGGCAGCAGGGGCGTAGAGATGAATGGAGAGGGGGGTTGAGTCTTTATGGGGGGGGGGGGGCGATGGTAAACTGCTAAATGGTAATTCATATAAAAAGCTATTCATGGCTTAAGGCAATAAATATATATACACATTGATTTGGAGGGCTAAAAAACATTTTAGGGGGGCTAACCCCTCTAAAATAGGACTAACGACACGCCTTGGCAGGCAGCAAAATCGTCTGCACGTCGGGCTCGTAGCCAGAAATAAATTCCGTGGGGTGTCCGGCATCCCTATCGATAGGTCACCATCGGGAGATGGTGAATCGGGAGTTCAAACTAATTTCCGGGGGGGAAGGGTGTCAAACCCGTAATTTTACTACCTGTTTACGCGCCTGCGAACGGATTCCTAAAGCACAAAATTATAAAACTAATTCCCAATCGCACATGATATATAATAAGCAAAATAATAGGTGAAATCAAGGTTTCGCTTATCTTGTTATTTTGCATGTCTTAGTTGCCAAGAAACAACGTAAGATAATACGAAAAAAACGTGTTGCTTCAATGAAGCAATATTCGTGTTGAAGGAACTGCAGTTTAGAGTTAGAAAAGTACCACACGGAAACGTCAGAAAGTTGTAACAACTGCAAAACTGTAGGCACAGTGGCCTTTATCCAGTCCTATTAGGGGTCCGAGCATCTCTATTGTTTTCGTTGTTATTATTGATACGTAAACTTCAGTGTCGCCGTCAGGGAGTGTGACAAATGGGGCTTCCTCGTCGGTGACAAAATCAACACGCAAACAAGGCAGCTCATCTTTCCAGATGAGAGCCCCCTCCCTCCACGGGATGCCAGCTTGGTCCAGGCGCGGCCATTGCCTACGGGACCTGAACAACGTCTCCTGCTGTCTGTCCAGACAAAGCTCAGTCATTACGGTAAAATCTGCGAGCTCCCTTAACTGACCCCGTACAGGAACTAAAAATAGCATCACTTCAATTCGGCGGCTTCCAACTTAACAAAACACCTGGAGAATCCCATAAAATTTAAGTGATTTAAAAGCATCGCATAGGGCTACAAATTTGATTTTGTACACGATTTTTTACATTTTTGCAAAGCTGGAACCTCACCTTAGCACTAAACAAACACTATCTGTACTCCCGTCCGTCCTGCCTGTCCGGGCAGAGAGATCCAGCATCTTGCCTTATAGAAAACATTAATTTCCCCGAAACCGTAATTAGACAATTATTATTGTTATTATTCAGTTTAATGTCATATGTGACTGCCCAGATTGACTGGAATAGTTCAAGGAAACACTGAGCTCACTTGGGCGCCTGGATGTCTCAAACGGGAGATTTTAAGGTGGCAGCAATAGCTCGGTATAGCTGTCCTTCTTCATGGGACCTTCAGCTGGATCTTGTACTTTGCATCTCCAGTAGTGAAGTCCCTTTCTTACCCATGCAGGATAAGAAACGAAATGACCGTCACCTCCGGGTGCCTGATAATCAGAGAGGCTCTGGGGCGAAGAAGCTTGTGAGGATGAGCTGGTCCTGATTCAGTTCGTGCTGATCGGTTAACATCATGCACAGACTACGTTCCCTCCCTAATCCGGTTACTTTATTAACGGATGGGCTGATTAATGGGACTCCAACAAGCGGGACAGAAAGAGCTATAGTGCACCTGGGGAGGGAAATCTCACCGCCTTTATCTCCCCAAACGAGTATCATACGTGTTTTAAGAAGCTTTTTATTTCGCTGTTTCGGTTTTTCATTTTAATGTTTACTGTGCTGTTTATCTTTTTCTGCCATAAAAGTTGGAACTTTTTTTCCTGTCAAAAACGCATGCTATTGGTTTGGTGAGATGTGCCGTAAAAGGCGGGGAGATGTGCCCAAATTAAATGCAAAATTTAGCGAGATGAAAACACAACTTTTTGGCCTTAAATTTAGCGTTGCAAGTGAGCCTAATCTGCTATTCCCTTCCTGTATCACCTCGTCTTCTTTGACTCTATATTTGAGAGGCTTTCTTTCCGGTAAAAAGTCATACGTGTCCTCGAACACGTCTGGGCTCTGCGCTTTGATGACACTAATTGCGTCATGGTGGATCTTGCCGTCGTTGTACACGCTGTACACTAAGGCCTACCGGTAAACAGTTTTGCTGTGGGATCTGTCTTGTAAGTTGTTTTGAATACGAATGATCTGACAGCCAAGCAGAAACAGGACTGTAAACAGGAGGTGACATGATCTAGGGTGGGCAGCATGCCCATGCCACACGGCAAGCATGCCTTGGCTACATGCAGACCCGTACATGGCCCATCCCAGCCATCCTGAAACCTGACATCCGAAATGTAATGTACAGAGGGGAGGCCTGGGCTATTTCTGCAACCTCCCCCCCGCCAGGCTATTCCGTGGTGTCTGTGTCACTGCTTTTATCACAGCACTGCAGTTGTACCCCACACTGGGAGCTGTTTTGGTGACGTCCAGTCCCGAGTCCTGGGGACAGCAGGCCGTCCGGACAGTAAACAACCCGTAAAAATGTTTACTAGAATTCACATTAATACTGTAGAGTGTTCTATTCACAGCCTACGAACAATACGTACACTATTCATGTATTTGTTTTTACATACGTCCATACGTCCAATTTGCACTAAACTTATTACACTTTCGTAGCTGGTGTTTGCAGCTTCGTAAACATGTATTTCATTTACTTGCACGCTACTAAATGTCAAGACAAGATAAATAAAACTATTTGATTCAATCGCACTATATGTGCCTGATGTCCTGAAGAGCAGCTATTTTGGGGCACTTTCAAATCAGGTCCTACCCTGCATATACTTTCCAGTATATAAAAACTGACCTGATAACCTACAGGTCTGCTTGGGGGCCGTGACTGGCTGTACCGTGTCCTTTATGTGGGGGCTGGAGAGCAGTGGTTCTCACCTCAGTCCTCGGGGAGCCCCAGACACCTTTTTGCTCCCTCCCAGCAAAAATGTGGATGATCTGGGGGCCCCAGTAGACCTGATCGAGAGACGGCGTAGAAGGTCAGTACTGATTATAACGGACAGGTTTTGCTGCTGCTGGAAAGAACCACATTCCTATACACAGTAATAGATCTCGGTCTGCTGCACTGTCCCTAGTGTCAAACTACCAACACCATCACCAGAATCAATGTCAGTGTAACTCATATTAACAAAGCGAATCAAATGAGACTCAAACGAGAGAAAACATTTAGCACTTTTAATATGCAGCTGGCGTGGGATAATGCAAATACTAACAGACAAACCATAAAGAAGATGTCATACTTTGAATAGAAATATTTATTGTCCTTCAATGAATCAAGGGCTGGACAAATGACTCAGTTTAACAAGTAAAATATTACGACTCCGCAAAGTGAGTAACCCAGCCAATCAGGAGCCTGAGGGCATCTGGACAAGGGCATGACGGTGAAGCGTGTGACAATCCACTTCACGTTTCCGCTGATCTGCGGCACAAGATGGCGTGTTGCGTTTAGGTCAGCAAAGCAAACTAACATTGCGTGGAAAAGTCCTTCCAAACACAAACGTACATAACTCGCCATGACAACAGGCAGGGGACTGTTATGACTGCATCAGGGTTGAATCACGATAACTTCCTGTGAGTTTCCCCACATCGGTCAGGTTTTCGGCCTACTGGGACTTCCGGCCACAAGAGCAATTGGAGACTTCATGCTGAACCGAAGGACTGTATCTAGAGAGTGACTGCAGGCAGGCGACTCGATATACTGCTTCTTAGATTCTTTCATCACACACATAACCAAAAGCCTAACCCTACCTCCATAGTGATAAATACACTGAACAGCCACTCAGCATTGGTAAATCCCAAGGACACAGTATTATGGACAGTGAACTGTTAGAATTAGGTGATCAGTGGTCATTGTTAACACACCACAGCACACAGTGCGCAACAATGAAATGTGTCCTCTGCATGTAACCCATATGTGACATTGTGACATAGCAGGGGGCAGCTAATTCAGCGCCCGGGGAGCAGTGCTTGGGGACGGTACCTTGCTCAGGGTACCTCAGTGGTACCTTGCTGGTCGGGGATTCGAACCAGCAATCTTTCAATTACAAGTGCGCCACCCTAACCATCAAGCCACCACTGCCACTGTTGCCCACTGTAGCAGAAATTTATGCAATAAGCTGGAACTGACATTTGGTTTTCATTGATGTGGTTTATTGTCCAAACGTGAAAACTTCATAACTTACATACTTGTTGCATTTGGCTCAACCTTTGGGGGCACTAGGTTGGGATAATGCCGACTGCTTTGAGATAATGTAGTTAGACAATAGTAATTAGACAATGTTTGCCTGATAACATTTTGCCACAGGGATACTGCGGCGTGTTTGGTAACCCATGGCGGTCTGGTAATCTATCACTGCCTTCTGATTGGCTCAGTAGTCATCACAGACACTTCCCCCACCCAGGGGAGGACTTCATCAGCAGCCGGCACACTTACATAACGCTTGGGACAGTCTGTAACCAAAAGCAGAAGAGCAGTGCAAGATTTCTCCTGACCCAGTACAATGAACTCCACGTATTTTAGGAGCAGGAACGCGACGTCTCCCATGAGCCTCTGCGCCTACCTTGAAGCAGATGACGCAGACGAGGGCTCCGCGGGCCTGGGGCCTACCCTACATCAGAACTTGTTCTGTATTTACAATTAATCAGCACAACAAAGGGAAAAAGGCATCAGAAATTCCACAGGCAACCCATACAGCCCAGAGGGAAACATCCTAATAAATAAATCGCTCACCAAATATTTTTTTCTCAAAATAATTAAAAAAAAAAAATCACTAAAAATTATTTATTGTCAAGTTGTCACTCACAAGCCACCAAAACATCAATGTATTAACAGACAAAATTTATGCACTTTTTTAAAAATAATCTGCAGCGGAAACTACAACTGGGGAAAAAGAACAGCCATGATCCCATGCACATCTTATGACATGACAGAAACTTGTACTGAATATACACGTTTAAGATACATAACAGAATGCTACCGATGAGAGACCATTCCAGCACATTCCAGTCCATGTGCTTCTAGACACAAGATGAACTAAAACGAGCGACAGCTGGCAGTAACAAACAGCCTGCAGTGTTTCGGACCTCCTTCGTTGGTATTTCCCCGGATATTTCAGGCCCGCCTCACACCTGTTCCCCCAGGTCCAGTACCCGGAACTTGTCCAGGGTGTAGAAGCAGGCCTTCACCACCCGTCCGCCGAAGTAGCGCCCGTTCAGGTCCACGACGGCTGAAACGAGAAGCACAAGCGGGCCGGTTGCTACACCAGTAGCGGAACCTCCATACAAGCCCGAGTCTGGGCGCCACGTGATGCTGAGATCGTGCAGGACGTGCGGCTGCCCCTGGGTGGGATTGAGGTCTGGCAGCGAGCGGCTCGTCCTCAGAACCTGCTGCGGCTGCCAGCTGTTTTAACCTTACGGCTAAAAAACAATGAGATCGTTCATGCGCTGCTGGGCGTCGTGACTTGACAGCGTACGTATAGTGTGTGTGTGTGTGTGTGTGTGTGTGTGTGCGTGCGCGTGTGCGTGCGTGTGTGTGTGTAGTGCTTCCTATAGCTCACTTTATTTTTTTCTACTTATTGCCCTTTGCTGCTATATGTTGCTTATGCCTGCAAGGAGACACACAAGCAATTCTTTGTATTCATACAAGTGAAAGTAAAGCCTTTGAATCCTTGAACCGACAGATGTTGTGCAAAGGACCAGCAAGCCTCTTAAGGAGAAGCAAACCTGTATCCAGCATCATCTCTGTACCTCCTTAATTACGCTTTCTGATTCTGTGACCCTTGGGACTTGTGATACTTCTTTGAGGACTGCTCGGGGGACCGAAACGGTGACAGCTGGATACGAGGGGCTGAGGCGGGCCTGCCAGCGACGTAATTCCACCTTTCTTTAACGCAAAGATCAATCTGAGGGTGGCTGAATCACCTTGACAACCTGACAGCCGGACCCTGCGTGCCAATGTCACGTCGTATCATGCCTGTGCCGATATGCCGAGCCACAAGCCACAAGCCACAAGCCACAAGCCGCCCCTTAAACCCTCACTCACCTTTGATAGCCGACTCCACCCTCTCAAACTCCAGGAATATCCTGACGGCCTCGTCGTCCGTCGTGTCCGAGATCTGCGGGGGGTGGAGCCAAGGAGCGCGAGTCATCCAATCACATTTTAGGGCACAAGGGGCTGAATGCCATAAATAGTTTATGTACATTTAAATTAGCAGTGAGCTTTCAGAAGTACCCACAAAGGCGGAGCTCAGAAGAGTGCTATGACAAAATAGTTACCATGGTGATGACGAGTGCTTAAAGCTTAGAGAACCCGTCGTGGGACCCCAGGCCTCACCTCAAAGATGACACACTTGGTCACTTTCCCGTACTTCTCACACTCCTCCTTAGTTTCGGCTTCCAGGTCCTCGTCCACCTCCCCCCTTCCTACCATGTTCTACCGTGAAATAAGTAAAACAGTCATATCTCTCTCTCTCAAGAAGAGAATTCATATAACAAATATACTAAAATAAATATGCAAGTACAGACACAAAGTTCCTCATTAATAAAAGGGGAAGGGTTATAAAAACTGGACATTACACCCTCAGAGCCACAGTGATGCTTTTACCCGCAAAAGGACAACTTTAGTCGGGCACTTGAGGATCTCCGTCAGAGGGTTGCTCTCCGGCTTCTTGCCGGAATCCCCTGGAGACAGAGGATGGAAGCTACATGTGACCTTGCGACCTTTAAATGGTGCCCGAGGTCACAGCTCCGGGGAACGGCTACATAGGAGACAGTCAGACTGAGCGGCACTGGGGGTGACACCTAAACCGGCAGCCGACCGTGCGACGTGAACTACTTTCCAGCAGATTCAGAGCATCCGGTTCCCGCTACCACCTGCCCTTAAGCCACACTGTCGGATAATAATCCCCTGCTTTGGTGTGCGAGAGACCAAAAACGGCGGCAGGAACAAAGGAGACTCAATGCATCATGGAGAGACTGACCTGCAGCAGCAGCCACCCAACTTGGAGAATCCCCCCCGGACGTCTGATTGGCTCCTGCTGGATAGACATCGCCATGGTTACATCAGAACTCAACAACCGGCACCGTAGCAACCGCGCGTGTGTGCTTGTGTGTACATGCATGTATCCACCCTTTTCTGTCAGGTCTCCGATGATGATCTTGCCGCCTCTCTTGCTGGTCTTCTCCACAGACAAGGCAGTGCTGAGACCCTGCTCATGCTTGCCCAGGCCCTGACCCTCACGGAAGCCATACTTCTGCATGATCTTATGTGCCACTGTCCCACTGATATGAGGGTGAACAGGACAGAGGCAAAAGGACGTCCGAGTCATTATCCAGTAGATCAAGCTTCCCACCGCACAATTAAAGCCTCAAAACTCGCCCCAGGAGGACAGCAGCAGCAGTACCCACCCCATGTTAGCCAGGAAGGAGCTGGTGGGACCGGGTGGAGAGCGGGGGCGATCTGAATCCTCATACATGGGGGGGGGGATGGCGGCCTTTGATGAGTGGGTGCGAGGCCGGCCGTCGTCATCGTAAGGGTACGTGGTTGCAAATTCTGCAACGAGGAAGAAATCCTTCACATAATTAAACGTAGTGGTGCACATCTGTGCTGTGATGAGCGTACCGGACACACAATGCCACCTAGTGGTACATCTATAGTATTGCAACATTTTACTGACGCTCTCGGTCCTTCTCCACCAGCGAGGTCGGCGGGGCGATCGCAGCTCCCCCTACAGCTGAGAGCAGGAAGAAGAGGGATATGGCAGAGGAAAGGGAGGGTGGCATGGCAGGTGCAGGGGGAAATGGCGTACAGAGAGAGAATCAAATTAACCTTGGCTGTTTGTAATTTCTTTTTAAATCCAAAGCAGACAGACATTGACCAAAAATACTTCCTAACTATGTTTTGAGAGCAAATGCAAAAATAAAAATTTAAAAAGCACAAAGACCTATTTTAGTTGAACAAGTTCCAAACTGATGTTTGAGGAACGACACAGAGGAGAAGCACAGAGAAGCTTCCGGAATCGGGGGAACAAGCAGCTCCTCCATGCCTGTGACTCACCTCGCTTCCTCCTCTCCTTCTCGTAATCCTCCTCTTCATCAGATTCGCCATCTGCGGGGAAGCTGGAGAATCCGCTGGGGACACCCCCTTCCTGTCGATCCTTCCGTTTCCTGGAGACACAGTGTGTGACAAGGCTGTTCTGCTGATGTGTGTGTGCCGCACATGTGCATGGTTACAGATAAGTAAACAAGAAGCTGCAAGAATCAACCTTGGTTAGCTCATTTATATGGTAATGAAGAGCTATAATAAGCATAATCTATGATGTCGAGTATAAGTTGCAATGCAGTCACTGCATACAGTGAGATGTGTGGGCTGCAGTGCAGCCACTGCATACAATGAGGTATGTAGGCCACAGTGCAGTCACTGCCTACAGTGACGTGTGTAGGCCACAGTGCAATCACTGCGTACAGNAGGCCACAGTGCAGTCACTGCCTACAGTGACGTGTGTAGGCCACAGTGCAATCACTGCGTACAGTGAGGTGTGTAGGCCACAGTGCAGTCACTGCATACAGTGAGGTGTGTAGGTCACAGTGCAGTCATTGCGTACAGTGAGGTGTGTAGGCCGCAGTAAGATCACTGTGTACAGTGAGGTGTGTAAGCTGCGGCGCCTTCACCATGTACATTGAGGTGTGTACACTGCAGTGCTGTCACCATGTACAGTGAGGTGTGTACGCTGCAGTGCTGTCACTGTATACAGTGAAGGTCCCATACTTCTCCCTCTCCTCGATCTCTTTCTGACGCTCCTGCTCCCGCTGGCGTTGCCTCTCTTCTCGCTGCCGCTTCACCACCTTGTCATACTCATTGGGGAACATGGGGTCATACTCGTCAGCCAATGGGATGAGCACGTCGCCGGAGGAAAAGCCCCCCGGAGCTGGGTCCTGCCACGGGACACAGCGAACATCGGTCAGTGTTTTAAGATGATGTGAGGGGGATATAGGAACAGGCACACTTAGGTTCACTTCTAATATCGCTTTATTACAAGTAATACAAAATAACCTTGCATTAAAACCAATACCAAAATATTGGATCAAAAGCAATGCAAAATAATCCTGTATCACAAGTAATATCCAATAATATTATATATCATTAACAATAATCAAATCGCCAATACAAGAGATTATAGGCATATATAAAAAGTGACAACAAAAACATGCATACATAGAAAGTGCAAATTGATATTATGGTTATTGCGATAATTGATTGAATTAACAGATTGAAACTGCAAAGCTATTCACACTCGGACGTGCCATCATCACCTACCTTCACTCTTAGACTGGGGAGCCCGTTTCAGTCCTGGCAGGAGATCAACACGTGAGTCCCGAGAAAGGGGGCGATGCGCGCTCTATCCCACGGCCGAACTCCAACCAACACTATGTTCTCCCCCTTCTTTTATACTAAATTTAGGCACCGCGTGCGAGCAGGGGACGAGCTGGCCAGGCTCACCCCTCCCCTCAGGCAATGTGTTGTCTAATTTCCAATTTTGTCCAGGTAAGCAGTTTGCAGCTTCAATCAGAAGTGATAAGACAAGTTTGTATAATCAATGCTTTCCCCTCTTCCTGCCACTAGGCACAGCTTCAATCAAAATAGGAATGAGCAGTGCTTTCTCTTCTCTTCTGAAGACTCTTCAAAAGAGAGGACAAGGCAGATGTCTCATATACCGACCAATGGTGTGCAAAACATACTGGGTGAACCCCTCCGAAACCCAGGGACACCTGGTAAGCGTCCTTGGATACAGTAAGCATCCCAAAACAAGGATTTTTTCGCATAAGATAAGGATACTCTGAAACCAGTAATTTGTGAAAAACAAGTTATATAAGTGACCAGAAAGAGAAAAGAAAAAGGGGGGGGGGGGACCATGCTATACAGTTTTTTACCCTTAATACAATATTATTGTAGGTGAATCATGGACGATGTATCAATCTCAGGATGATTAATCCACACTTCAATCACCAGCGATGCCAAGACCGAAGGTATGTCTACTAGGTGGAGTTGGAGTGACTCCACCAAACTGTGAATAATGGTGTCGAACAAAACAGCTTCCCAAATCATTACAGTAACAGGGGGACACTCAACACATTGTTTTAATTCTACGCTACGTGGGCGGCGTGGCCAGTTACGGGGCCACCTGTACGTTCGTTTTGATACAGTCAGCATTACACATCAGCACAGGTCCCGTGGAGGAAGGCCACACGGTTCTCACCTTGAGCCCTGTAGCAGCGTGCGGGGGCGTGTCTGAGATCTGTCTGTCATCACTGGTGTTTCCTCGCTTTAGGTCAATCACTGGTGCAAGGACAGTCGCCTGCTTCGACCTCTGACTCTGGAAAGACAAAGACCAGGTTCAGCTCCCTACCCCATTAAAAATGTTTAGAGTTGCGATGCCCACTGTTTAATCTGATCTGCATTCATATAATACACCTGCGGTTCAAATCACAAGCAATTCTGTGACATCTCCATGAGGAAGCCTTTGGGGTGGGGAGGTGTCAGATCTGGTGCGGCCATATGGGCCAGGGAGAGACACACATGAGCTAGTGGACAGTACCTGTGGGCAGTGGTGGCTTGATGGTTAGGGAAGTGCACTTGTAATTGAAAGATTGCTGGTTCAAATCCCCAACCAGCAAGTCACCACTGAGGTACCCTGAGCAAGATACCGCCCCCAAGCACTGCTCCCCGGGCCCTGAATTAGCTGCCCCCTGCTATGTCATGATATCACATATGGGTTAAATGCAGAGGACACATTTCGTTGTTGTGTACTGTGGTGTGTCAACAATGACCACAGATCACTAAATTCTAAACTGTATCTCCCGCTTCACTGCCGGGATTTAAACACTTACCTTGGCCTGGGTAAGGGCTGCTTTCTTCACCTGCAGTTGTGACTGCAGCAGCTTGAAATTCTTGGACCAGCCTTCGGTCTTGGCATCGCTGGTCGCCACGCCCAGGTCGTCGTAGAGAGACATTTTATTCCTGGATTTTAAAGGGTTACGTTTGAGGAAAGCAGGCGTGCACATTTCAATAAATCCAACCAGACTCCGAGCACCACCCGTCTACTGCAAGGTTTACCGAACACAGAGCAGCTAGTCAGTTACTTTAAGCAGGTGCATTTCTACTGCTTTTAAACGTAAACCCCAGGCTTTAGTGGTTATACGCCCTATAACATGCGACCCGAACCTGGCTGCATCCGAGTCTTTAGTTAAAAATGTATACGTAGACGGCGGGTTTAATGCGCTCATGGTCATCTCGTCAAATTACCGCACCTCATAAATTACACTTTAAAATTAACACCCAAAATGAATTAGCCAAGAGGGGGCTAACATACATAACAACCGGATTCAGTGAAAATACTGATTACACTCCACGCCGAAAACCAAAAGGAATTTACCCTAAAATGGAACTCAAACAGCTCTCACATTTAACAACATAGATTATCTACAATACGGACAGAACACAGCAATCTAGCAGCCGAGCTTCCATTAATATTTACCAGAAAAGCAACACTTTCTATTCGGCGGCCATTCACACGCCGACGAGGTGAGAGCAGCCGGCAAGAGCGAAAAGGTCGTTAATAAATTCGGTGCTGCCCTCTGTCGGTGGAGGACCGCAATACCATCATGACTTTCTTCAAATGGAAGCACTGGAGGTCGCTAAATAGCAAAATTTGATAGAAAGACAAACGTGTCCAAACATGGAGCCATCTGTGTGAAAATGCATTGTGTTGCCTGTTTTATGGAAGATCCTACTGCCTTGTACTATTACTACCCGCAGTTCTCCATCCATCCATCCATCCATCCATCTATACATCCATCCATCCATCCATCCATCCATTTCCACAACCCCTTATCCAGTACAATGGGGGTTTTCAACCTTCCTTAAACTAGGGGACCTAAAATGAGAATAGATCAGATCTAGGGACTCCCTACCACTAATGTGCGATTTCACAAGTAGGACATAACAAAGCAGCCAAAACTCAGACGGGGTGTGAATATTTTAGTGTTCCATAAAGCAGAAGAAAATGCAAAAGTTTTCACAATTAATTCACAGTTAAAACAAGTCTCTGTGGATCTCATAGTATAATAGTGGAAAGGAAGAATATATTTTTACACAGTTTCTCAAAGTGTACAAAGTGAACCGTGAAAACCTTTGTCCATAAAACATTGACAAACCACTGATTAGAATCTCTGCAATGGGTTGGTGTTGTAGGCCGAGTGGCGGCTCTGAGGCTAGGGCTCTGTGCCAGCCACTGGAAGGTTGCTGGTTCAAATCATATGAATGCCTGGACTGATCCTACTCCTTTGGACCCTTAATCTGAAATTGCTTCATCCTGGGTATGATGTTAATCTACATCCAGTCCTGTAAGGAGGTCCTCCAATTTACAGCGAAATTTGGGGGTTGGTGGCACCAGCCACTAGAAAAAACTCACACTGGTCCCTTCGGACTAGTGTGGTGCTGAGGTATTACCTGCCAAATGGCTGAAATCAGGTTCATATCTTCATGTTCACATCACAACAACCTGAGGTGGTTTGTCGTGTGGTGGGTGCAGCAACGCGCTGTAATCAGTGCATGCTCCTTACCTCACCAATGAGTAGGTGCTCCGTCCTGGGCTATCCCCTGCCTTGTGGATTTGCTGTAAGGTGACTCCACGTGGCTCTTGTGCTCTGGGTTGTGCAGGTGTTGTCTAGTCTGCTCCTCCTCCCTCTGGCCATCCACAAAACTGGAGTCAGTAGCACTGTGGTGCTCAACCAGGCTCTGATTCCTCTTTGTCTGACTTGCTAGTGCAGTGCAAGTTTGCCTTTGGTCCCTCCCTGAGCACTTAGCCTTCCCTTCATAAATACTCTGACTCTTTGTCCCAACAACGAGACATGGGTTCCTCTAAGCAGCTCTCTAGCACACAGAAAATTTAAATTACTAATGTCCACAAAGCAGGAGAAAGCTATAAGAAGATAGAAAGTGTTTTCAAGTGGCTGTAACTGTTTCCTCAATTTGTATTGTAATTAAAAAATGGCAGATACCAGGAATGGTGGAGGTCGAGTTGAAGTCTGGAAGACCAAGAAAACTTTCCAAAAGACACTGCTTGCAGGATTGCTAGAGGGGCAAATAAAAACCCCGGTTTGACTGCAAAAGACCTTCAGGAAGACATAGCAGTCTCAGGAGTGGTGGTGCATTGTTCTACTGTGCAGCGACATCTGCACAAATATGAGCTTCATGGAAGAGTCATCAGATGAAAACCCTTCCTGCAAATCCGGCATCAGTTTGCAAATGAACATCTAAACGTATGGAGGATTGGACATCTATGCGTATTACAGTCCTACTTCTGAAAAGTTGGGATGCTGTGTAAAATATGTCATGGCCTGACATGGCACAGGCAGAAAAAAGGTGACAATCCACTTCAACTCCAAGACAAAAATGGGTTTATCATGAGACGAAGAATTACAACAAAGGAGACCCTGAACTGTTGTGCAGTTGAAATCCTACGTCAGACAAGAATGGGATAATATTTCACTGTCAAAACTTGCACAGAAAGGGATTCACAGGCAAGGATATTGCTGCTAGTTATATTGCACCTAAATCAACCATTTTTCATATCATTAAGAACTTCAAGGAAAGACATTCAATTGCTGTGAAGAAGGCATCAGGGTCCCTAAGTCCAGCAAGCACCAGGACCGTCTCCTGATTCAGCTGCGGGATCGGGGCACCACCACTGCAGAGCTTGCTCAGAAATGTCTGCAGGCCGGTGTGAGTGCATCTGCACACACAGTGAGGTGAAGTCTTTTGGAGGTGACGAACGATGCCTTTTCCACCATGATGGAGCAACGTGCCATAAGGCAAAAATGATAACTAAGTGGCTCGAGGAACAAAACATCGACATTTTGGGTCCATGGCCAGGAAACTCCCCAGACCTTAATCCCATTGAGAACTTGTGGTCAATCCTCAAGGGGTGGGTGGACAAACAAAAACCCCCAAATTCTGTCAAACTCCAAACATTGATTATTCAGGAACGGGCTGCCGTCAGTCAGGATTTGGCCCAGAAGGGGATTGACAGCATGTCAGGGCGAATTACAGAGGTCTTGAAAACGACGTGCCAACACTGCAAATATTGACTCCTTACATAAATTTAATATAACTGTCAATAAAAGCCATTGACACTTATGAAATGCTTGTAATTTATACTTCAGCAAACATCTGACAAAAACAGCAAACTTTGTGAAAACCAATACTTGTGTAATTCTCGAAACTTTTGGCCACGACTGTAGAAATTCGCAGTTCAAAAGTGAGTCACTAACTCCCTCTACTGGCAGTTTCGCGTTACATCAGGATGGTTTAGGGTGGACAGGACAACTAGAATAAGATGCTGGCGATTCAAGTCCCTTCTAGCCCGGGTATTCTCACCCCCACCATTTGTTAGTGAAATGTGTGACACCCGCTCCCACCCCCGGAATTCTCCTGTCTAACAGTGTCGGTCATTTCGGGGAGGGGGGGCAGAAAAGGGCCCGTTATTCTTTTTGGTGCTGATGCATCTGATTACCAACATTAAGGAGCAAACGACAATTCTGGAAACCGAAACGTTATTTATGCAATGCTTTGTAGTTACCTTTTACAGTTTTTACAAATATGTAACTCAGTCTGATTTCTTTGTTGTTGTGTCTTACTTCCACATGCTTTGGATTTTTTTCTGTCGTTAACTTCACGTTTATAGATGAAGCGCCTCGATCACCCTGCGCATCCGCGTTAAGAGTCCGTCAAGGAAATGTGCTTGTCTGTGTTTCGCCTGGTCCCAGCGCACAAAATTTTAGCCCACATATTTATGGTAATATAGTGTGTTGTTGTTATTGCTAATGCTTGAATAACGATTGTCGAGCGTCTCATGTGAACCCTGTCCTATCCTCGCGTGTCTCTAATTATTCGGTAAATTATACACCGTGTGTGAACCTTACTGGCAGGCGGCCGACCTCCCAGACGCCAGACCTTGTCACTTTTTTCATTTGGTTTGTCAACTGTTTAATACTTAAGAACATACAAAAGAACATAAGACATTTACGGACGAGAGGAAGTCATTCGGTCCATCAATTAAGCTGCTTAATAAATATATGTACTTGCTAAAGACTCAATAAAGGAGATTTGATCTCCTTTGTAAACAAGCATAATTGTCACTCGCCGCCACCCTGGGTCTTTCTGCCAAGCACAGCAGTACTGCTGTAATACGTTCCCAAGTACCTTATATGTTCAGGGGCACAACATGCATGTTGACACGTGGGAACTGCCCTCCCTCGAATCGCCCCTGCTGTCAAAACCTTTACGATCTGTTTTGTTATTGTTGTTTGTGGGTTTGCTGTTCTTTAAAAAATTGCGTAATAAAACAGCTTGACAAATTCAGATTCGGTTTTTTGCACTCGTGTCACAAAGACATACAACCCTGGTAATGTTTAATTCTATTTCTTCCTCACATTAGAACATAACTAACAGCTCCAAACGTGTTTAGGAACGAAAGTGAAAGTGTCTTAAGCAAGGAAAACAGCTACTGCGCAGAAAGCACCGAAATGAATTAACAGAACCACCAAATTAAGGGACATCCAAGAATTTCCTTTATTACTAACATCGCTTCAGGAATGTGAAGTTTCATGGTGTGTTTTTTGTGGGATTTCACTGGAATGCGTTTTTATGATGACTTGCCATGCTTATCATCTTTCAGTTTTTCTTCTACTCTCCGTCGGCGCTTCTTTGCATCGGAATTACGTCTTTGTCAGCGCAAAAGGTTCGTGATTTATTTTAAAACGCTCTTTCCGCATGTTGAGTGAAACCGGCTATTTCCACATAGCACAGGTCTCTTAATCATTGATTCTGGTAAAACCTTGGTCTCTTATTAATGTTGCGTGAAACGAAACGAATGCCCCTTACAAAACAACAAATTAGGATATGCAGTGCGAGGGGTATGTTAAACGTGATTCTGCGGATCAGTGGCAACAAGCATAAAATGTCGCTTGGGCTTAAATCTGCCGCGTTGATCAACTTGCTGTTTGCGTGATAGCTTCCCGCATCAGTCAGCCTGAACTGCGGTTTCCTGAACCGGACGCCAAGTAATTAATTTGGTAATTATGAGTGTACCATATAATGCTGCTGGATTTCTCTCTTTGTGGATTGGTGTGCGTCTGTGATTTATGTTAGTTTGTGGACACGTTTGAGGCATTGAGATCAAAGATCAAATGGGGTTTGGGCTGCAGCCAGCTTAATTATGCTCTAAGTATGTTAGCGATTAAATATTATAACGATATATTATAATTACCTGCAGTGTATTTATCTGTTGTTTTTTCGCTTTTGCGAAAACACTGCGTACAGTACAAAATAACCATTAAATACACGCACAGAGAAATGATTACTGGGAAATGGGTACAGTAATAATCATCAGGTACCTTCACTTTCAGTTGAACGCGAAAACGTATTTACCCAGGTTCAAGGGCGTAGGTTGCATAACGACATTTTTTTTGGGAGGGGGTTATCGATTGGGACCAGAATTGTGACGTGGCATCCGTATATGGTTAGTTTTTTATTCGTAAACAGTTGCTGTTAGACTTACAACATATAACGTGATATTAAGAAAAAAATAAGTTAATCCAACAAATACTTATCCGACAGATACTTTAGTATGCACTGCTCTCGACTAGTCCCAGTTCTTGATTTTATTTTAATTAACACTGGTTTTTAATAAAGAATGTGAGGGGGAAGGGGGGATGATTTTGCCAGTGTGGTTTTCCTCTCTGCCAAAATAATCCCTAAGAAACCATATTTTCTTTTTGATGACCCACTCAGCACATTGTTCTGCCTGAAAATGAATGGTACATTATTGCTTGTTCAGTAGCCTGACTTGGGTCACAGAATCTACTGCTAGCCATGTTAATAAGTATACCCCTATTTGGGAGCTGAGCTGTACACCACAATTATGAAATTATTCCAGGATCACAGTTTCTATTTATGATGATGCAGCCAGGGACCGATTACGGACCGGGCCAGCGGGGCCGCTGCCCAGGGGCCCTTGGGGTGCAGGGG